TTGCGTAATACTCCATAATAAATTGCGTAATATTACGTAATAAATTGCGCAATATTATGTCCAGACCATAATTCTTGCACAATATTACAGGCCGTAATATCTTACGTAAGATTACGTTTATATAATTTGCTGATGTAGTTGTCATGATGTGTGTCCATTCATATGAATATCATGCGTAGGGTGGGAGTGTGTTACCAGGCTAAGGGTATTTAGAATTAGTATGCCAGGTAGTTGTTTGTTTATCCTCTGTTTGTTATCGTTTACCTTGGTATAGGCTGGCTTTATTGGCCCACCTTTCATACCCGTTGTTTATGAAGCTCAGCGGTTTGAAATAGTGCAACTACTAGTGTAAGGTCTAGGAACCGATGATTGAATAAATTGGTTTTGAGGCTGCAAGAGCAGTGTAAGGACCAGATCGGGAAGAAGCGTACTGTAATTCAAAGAGATTTTCATTTAATTGCTATCTAACTATGAAGTTTCTTTCTCTTGTATCATTGACCTAGTGTTGTTCTTGTTTGTGATCAGAGTGTGTTAATGTCAAGATTAAGGTGTGAGGTGTATTTAGGATTTGTCGATAGTGTGTTTTAATGAATAGATCTGGCTTGGTTAGCCTGTTGTTTGGACTAGAGTCGAAATGTAAAGTTATCTCTGAATAGCTAGGGACAGTTACGAGTGTATGATATTTGATCTATTTCCTATATGTATTTTCATTGTCATAGTATTAAAGTCTACGATAGAGCAATAATAATAACCATATTTCATTAAATGAATTTTTAAACACGCATTATCAGTATTTTGTTTAAGGATAGTTTTTTGCAATATTTTTTTTATGTGAATATTATTGTAAAATATTAGTAAGGTGGTTTTTTTTTTTTTTTTTTATATATACATATCTCTCTTATAGGAAGGTAATTGTTATGAGTGACATTTTTTGGTTTATGTCACTTCGTATATGAAGTTTATATGACGTAATTTATTGTTGTTATATTCAAATAAATATTAGCAGTTATTTTTCAATACGCAAAAAATAAGTTAATTTTGTTGTTTAGTTGTTCATGATGCCTTGTTATGCTGATACTATCGTTAAAGTGAATCAGGTTCATCAAACTTGCAACAAGGATTCAAAATTGTTTGCTATACGGGCAGTTGGTGTTTATCCTATTGAGAGTGAGGATTGCGAATTGGATATGACTTTATTTATTCCAATGAATGATAAAGAGAAAGATCCTAATTTACAATCGATTTTTGAAACAAATGAGTATTATTGTGTTGGTGGAAAAATCGTGCTTGGATTTTACAATGGAAATTTAAGATTAAAAGTTTGTGTATTTAGTTGTATACGTTATAATTTTCGAACTATTATTAAATTTTTTAAATCTAGATGACTGTCGCATCCTCGACTCACCTTTCAATTAAAAAAGATTTCGGTTCAAATAGGTGCCCATTAAAAGTTTCGCTTGTTGGTGTTGCTCAGGATGCACCTAAAGAGATTAATTGCGAAAATGCAATACTTAATGTATTAGTAAATGATTATGCCGGGCAAATTTACAGTTTTACGATCAAAGTCATTTTTCCACACCATAATTCTCGATTCAAACATTTAATGAATTCCACTCGATTGCATGAATCAGTGCTTTTTGTAGGACAAATGGAGATTATTGAAAAGGATTTATATGTGTATGCTGTCGATATTTCTTATGTTGATACTGGTTCTGCAACAAAGAAGAAAGTTAATATTTCTGAGAATACTCCAGCACTATATAG